AAAAAAATAAAGTCCAACAAAAAAAAACATTCACTCAAACACGTTTGCCCAATTTGGGTGGTGGTGGTTGAATATTAAGTGAAAATGCTCTTCAGTTCATATTTAATTCATCCATATCAAGTTTAAAATAAAATAACAATAAAATATAACTGTAAAAATGCTGTTCATTTTCGTCATAGAAGCATATATCTTGTTGATGTGAATAATTTCTTCAGAGACAATTCTTACATACAAAGTGCAAATGGAGGATGTTCTCTGATCATGTCATGCTAATTTTCCAGTTTATCAGTCTTCTCAGTTCTGCACTGAAATGACAAGATGGTATCACATTTGATCTTAATATATATCATACAACCTTTTGGGTTTAGAAGTTCATATGAGCTGAAAACAACTGTCTTTGCTTGGATGGTGTTGTGCCAACAGCAGGTTTTTAATAACTTTCTTTTCTTTTCTGCTTGTCGTAGGATGAAGTGGCCCAGCCTCTGAACCTTTCAGCCAAACCCAAGACATCTGATGGCAAGTCTCCCACATCACCCACCTCTCCTCATATGCCAACTCTGAGAATAAATAGTGGGGCCAGTTCCCTAAAATCCTCCGTGCCAGCAACATTAGCTAGTCCTTCGGCCAGAGCTAACACAATAGGTAAGCTCAGTTTCATTTGTCCCTCCTTATAACGATTAATCGATGTTATTGGAAAGCGGGCATTTATCAGCCAGTGCCACACAGTGGTCTATGAGCTGTCACAGGTTGACCATAGTACTACATTTGTCGATGTCAGTAAAGAAACTCCCACAGACTTACCATTTCAGGAGGAGTATCTTAACTTACAGACTCGGAAAACAAAGACCTGTGTTATTTCAGATACTGCTTTATCAATAAAAGGTAATAAATGCTGTTTGTTTAATGGCATACATTAAAGACAGTGACCTGTCTAATGGCAGGCATTAAAGACCCGTGATATTGTACTATGTCATCTAAAAGTGATGGATAAACTTTAAAAAAAATTCCCTTTTAAGTTAAAAGTCTACATATGCAAATACATCTTTGCAAAATTACAGGTTTAATCCTTAGTCCGCTAAAAAGCTGTGTGGAGCATTATTTTACCTTGGTCTGATAAGCAAAACAATCACCAGGTTCATTCAAAAAAACAAGTTTGATGTTGTATTTTGCAAAAAGTCTTGACTGGCTGTTTCTAACAGTGTTCCTCAAATAGTGTTAATGCTTCCTCCTGTCAAAATTACCTCTTTGCCTAAAGACCATCTAAATAATAACAGTCCTAGTGGTGATTTTACAAGTCTGATGTGTTAAAGGGACTGTTCTTTGTGTGTATAAGTAAAATGTGTACACACCCCATTCTTCATCCTTCTAACTGAAACATTTTTTTCTATAAAGTGATTAAATATAACCTGGATTAAGATTTCAGGATGTAAATCAAGCTCTGTTTAGAGAATTAAGTGAGGTAGATTGTTGTACCTTTGCTTCTGTGTCTTGTTGCTCCTAAAACATCTCCTGCTGGCCACTTTCAGAGATGGCACAAAGAACAAAAGAAACCATAGGTCAAACCTATCAGAAGCTGTTTCTGTGATAATCTCAGTGCTATGTAGTAAAATTTTTCTGTGTCTCTGTGGATCTCTCCCAAGCTGTCTGTAGTCCATATTCTACCTACATAGACACTAGGAAGACCCATAATTATGTCCAAAGTTCAAAACAGATCTAGCTCCCACTGTATTAACTCTCCCACTGTGCATACATGATTATTGCTAATGTTGATGATGGTTATGTATATCAGACAGAGAATATGCTTCTATGCCTTTTAGAAAAGAAAATAACTTTATTTGGTATGACATCTTACAATTACATAAATATTTTGTAAATACCACATTTGTTAATTGTTAATGCATATATTATTATTAGCCCTACACTCTTTAACTGTGGTAGGTAATAATGTATTTAATCTTTAATTTGCTTGGCCCTACTGCTCTCCATGTACAATGCATCAAGTTTCAATTTTTTCACATTAATTTTTTTGTCCCTAATACATTGAGCATCACATTTAGATGTTAGATGTGGAGTCAAGCATCTGACCTGCATCTCAGTGGCAGGACATCTCTGGTTCTCTCCTCTCCAATCTTCTTTCCCTACACACCTGATATTTTTCATAGGTTTGAGACCCCCGCAATTCACTTCTTTTAACAAAATGCAGATTTTGAAACGCTGTACCTGTAATGAGTGATAATGTAATTGGATAAAAGCTGTGAGGATGAATGGAGCTTTAAAGGTCACTCTTGTAAGAAGAATTAATGTGTTATACCATTAATAAACCATGGAAAACTGTGGAGCAAAAGATAACATACTTAAGTTATTGTTAATGACATAGAGTTCACTGCTGTATATCTCTCAGCTACAAATATAGAAAGTGACTTTTTGAGGTTGCTGAGCGGTATCACTGTGCATACTGTATTTATAAGATAAGCAGTCTTTAACTGTGGTACAGGGGCTGGACAGACATAGCCTACTTCTAACAAAGGTCTATCCTTTAATGGAGGACTAGAAGAACGGAAGGCTTGTGAACACTCTGAGTCTTTTCCTGCTAGCTGCTAGGTCAGATCCAACCAAAGTTACAGCAAGTAAAACTCATTACCATGTTACATCCATTTGGTGATCTTAAAAAAGTGCGCATACAATTTCAAGTCACCCTCCAGTAGGAGCTACGCCACAAAAAAATTTTGATAGCATTTTTAGCAGAGGGACTAAGATCCCTAAAAATGGTAGAGAAACCGGATTACTTTTTTATCTTGAGAGATGGATCCCTCCAGGAAGGGTCACTGGGAAGCATGCAGTCATTTGCCAGACAGTTACTTCCACCATTAGAATGATTGGAGCTGTCAATGCAAGGCACAAGTTGTCCGTCCTAGGTGTGCACACCCCACCTTGTTGGGATGCAGCTGAGCGGTCCTTTTTCACTGCCACTAACTTCAAATTAAAGCCATTCTCTGAAAGCAGTTCTTCAGACTGCTAGGTTCCCATGGCATGGAGAAATGCTCATGTATTGTTCAGTTGTCTTTGGAGGACATAAACTTACAGCCTCCTATGATTAAGAGCATAGCTGCCTTCGGACATACAGATACGTAGTCCTTTTCTAGAGCTATCCTTATAGCGTATAAATTATGCTACAGACTGAGACGTCACAAATGTCGTGGCTTCATGTATGACTTCAAATCCAAGCATTTCTTTTTGGGAACAGGCATATGTCCGTGTACTAAAAACAGAAACAACTTCTCTCTGCCCTTTGCCATTATCTTCAACATCTCTGTGCTAGTTTGGCAATCCTTGTAACTAAGTGCATTTTATGTAATGCAATTCCCCTCTCTGTCAATAATTCACCACCTACCCTAAACAACAATAATTTACATTCAACTCGCTTCTATATTAATCATTTCCCTGCACACCAGCATCTTGGCAGCTACTGAAAAACATAAGGAGTGCTTGCTTTTATTCACTGTCATGTGCCAAACTGTCTTAAAGATAGCAGTATTCAGGAAAAGCCAAATAGTCTGGAGAAGGGCATGAATTCCAGTTCCTAGACAAATTCGGCTGTATTACAGATTGAAAGTATTATACCTAGCCTAATCAAGAGCACAACCAGCAGCGATACTACTGTTTGTTTTATTGTTTGTTTGTTTGTTTGCCTCCTTTTTAATTTATTCTGACTACATGCAAGCTTGATCAGTAACAGATGCAAAGTGAGGAAAAAACCAAGCAAGTTGATAAAATGGAGGTAAAAAAAAAATCAGCTGGTAGCACTGTGCTGGTGCAGGTTATATCCTTCCTTATGCTGGGAAAGCTGGAATTACTGGAATTCCATTGGCTGGGAATTACTGAACTGGGTCATTTGATAAAAGCGATGTGGATCAAGTCATTTCATATAAAACTGTCAGGGTTCCTGGGTATTTAGCCAAAAGCTAACTGTTAGTACAATTAACAACAGTCAAACCACACAGAAACTTTTCTTTCTAGTTTTTGCGTGCCAAGGAAGATGGGAATACCAGTCCCGTTCTGTCTGCAGTCTAAAAAAACAACAATAAAAACCCAAACCAAACTAAAATCCTGACAGCAGCACAGCACTGAACTAATCTGACATCAGCTTCTTCCCCTGAAATGTTTTAAGCAGCAAGACAATGTCCTACGTTTTTTGGCAATCAGCGGATCAGATAGAAGAGTCTAGCAATACAACAAGGATGTGTAATCTGACATGATTAGACAAGGCTCTTTAGGAACAGAACATTCATAATTGAGACAAAGAAAGAGTATTAATAACACTTTCCTAACACGGCAGTTAGCCATTTTATATTTCCTTTCTTTAATCTTAGTGTTTTTCAACAAATCATGGGATTTAATAGCGTGTTTTGGCAGATTAGAGGATTTATGGCCCAGATGTTTTTTGTTCTAAAAATGGATTAGGGTGTAAAGTTTGCTGGAATCCATGGAACATGTTGAGGCAAGCCGGTCATTTTGTGTGTGATTAGTGCCTGCCTTCTGTCTCACAGTCCCTCCATCTGTCACAATTCACCAATGGATCTGGTTAGATTTAGCCTCATGTCACAAACAGAAGTCCCTTTTCTGGGCAATTTCATATTACAGATTCATTTTATGCCGTTTTTATGCCCTAGTTAAAAGACAGAAAGAAGTGTATGCGCGCGCGCGCGCGTGGGGATGTGGAGAGGGGGAGGGAGGTTGATATTAGCCTCTCCTTTAATGTTTGAAAAATAGACGGGGGCTTGGAGTCTCCCATCAGTATTCTATCCTACAAATCACATGCAGATCATAATAAGTATAATCTACAGTACGCTAAAGGAAAAAAATGACAAAGTGTCACATTTAAAATTAAATAGTATTAGCTGCGCTGGTGATGCTTGTAACATTTTAAAAGGAAATAATTCAGTGACTACTAAGGCTAAGCCCTAGGCTGTGAATTTGCAGCAAAACAGTGGACATTTGACCTACTATTAGCAGCATGAATAGGAGTGGGAATGTAGGTCCGTGTAGCTGTGGTTTCTTATACATTTCTGAATGACAGGTGGTGGTGGGGAGCATTCAGTGGATGAGGTTTCTCTTCCCAGCCATTATGCATTTCATATCTATAGCAAACCACCGCCACCTGTGGTTTATTTTAATGTATTCACAAGTTTTAAGAAGGGGAAGAATGAAATGGTCTATTTTTAAGAGTTTGGGATTGCTGGCATGATCAAAGCTTCCCCTAACTCTTATCCGGTTACATCCTGCTGCATACAAACCACAGGGCTAACCTCTGCAGCGTCAGGGAAATATTGAAACTAATGGGATCAAATATCAGGACGATGATTTTGGCACTGAGGTTTCTCATGCTTTCTATCCAGGTGGCTCTATCATAACAATAACAGAATTACAAAGCACAGACGGGTTTCTGGGCATTACCTTTTAACTCTTTCTCATTAATAATGATAAACTATTGGTGCATTTCATCGATGAAAGCTAAAGTGTTTTCTTGTAACTTTCTTTTTTTAAGATATCCTTTCTTCTATCACGTCGTCAGGTTATTTAAATGACCACGATGCTGTTACCAAGGCAATCCAGGAGGCCCGACAGATGAAGGAGCAACTTCGGAGGGAACAACAGGTGCTGGATGGGAAGGTGGCCGTTGTGAATAGCCTGGGTCTCAATAACTGCAGGACAGAAAAGGTGAGTTTCCGAGACTCCCTTTGCAAAGGCTCAGAGATTGCATTTCATAGAATCATAGAATCATTAAGGTTGGAAAAGCCCTCTAAGATCATCGAGTCCAACTGTCGCCCCAACACCACCATGCCCACTAAACCATGGTCCTAAGTGCTGCATCTACTCGTCTTTTAAATACTTCCAGGGATGGGGACTCAACCACTTCCCTGGGCAGCCTGGTCCAATGTTTCACCACTCTTTCAGGAAAGAAATTTTTCCTCACGTCCAATCTAAACCTCTCCTGGCGCAACTTGAGGCCATTTCCTCTCGTCCTATCGCTTGTTACTTGGGAGAAGAGACCGACACCCACCTCGCTACAGCCTCCTTTCAGGTCGTTGTAGAGAGCGATGAGGTCTCCCCAGTTTGGCTTTCCCTACAGATGCGTAGGTTCTCCTTTTTCTTCCTCCTTTTTCTTGCTCTATTTTTTTCTTCCCCATTTTTAAACAGAACAGTTGCTTCTTTCAAAAAAAGTGAAAAATAAAATGAAAACCACAACCAAAAGATGACATGAGAGAGAGATCCGGAGACCCTTGGGGGAGAGTGGGGAGGAGGCAGAGATAGTTAAAGCCCTCACGAGAACTTTGGAGGCCACTAATTCTCTGTTCCAGCCTGTCAACGTGTATTATGAGAAGGTGATCTTGGAAATCTCTAGGTCTAAGTGGAAATCTTGCTTTATGGAAATGCTTACGTGTGTTTGTGAGATGAGCTGGATTTGAAAATATTCAAGCTTCTTTAGGAACATAAGCTTTGCTGATACTCAGGCTCAGCTTCTGGGTATTTAGCCTTGTGAGGTTGTCATATATGGTATTTTGTGACCATTGCAATGTAGAACTGTCATGTCACGTTAGATGACTTAACAAAATTGAAAAAATGTAGAATTGACAACACAAACTGCACCAAATATTTGCAGTGAAACTTAGAGGCAGCAGAACGTATGGACCTTACCACCTTCTGCTTTTGAATTGGCCTGTGAAGCTGTGCTATAACAAAATATCGACAAAGTAAATATTCTCTAGTAAAATTTGTATGTACTGTAACCGTCGCATGTGTGAAAGAGGTGGTGATTTGCTGCTTTTCTCTGGAAATACCTGATGTCTTTCCGTGCACTGCCCTGGCTTATGGAGGATAAATAGACCTGCCAGTCCTTGCTGCCACATTTATAGTGAGCTGTCCTTATAATACTGCCACCTAAGATATACATCCGAACTCTTGTGTGCGTCTCAACATCATATGCTTAGCAAGACTTTTTCCTCAATTCCTCTCTTCCCCTGCAATATTTTCTGAGGTGATACAGCCTTCGTCGTGCAGTACAACAAAGATGACCGTTGCTGCATTTGGTGTAAACTGAATTTTATTGAAACCGCTTCTAGTGGCTTTTCGCTGTGAGGCCTTGTGTGAATCACTGAGATAGGCAGATAAATAGAATGAATAAAAATGATCAGCTATTTAGCAGAAACCTGAAAGTCAGTCATCCTAGGAAGCTTGTGAGTCAAACAATATTGTCCAGAATGAGCAGATTGCTAATTTGGATAGCTTTCCATTTTCCCTGTTTTTAGATGGAGTTTGATCAATAAGCTGTGAGAAGCCAGCAGTCTGGGTAATGAATGTTAAATGTACATGTGAGTCTCTCACTACTGTACTCTTTTCGTCAGCCTATCCTGGGTGTAAGTGATGTAGAAATGACTCTCATTTCATGCACTTTCTTGAGAGGAAGGGGAAGGAAAAAAGAGGTCAGTGTAATAGGTATCTGGCAGTACATACAATCTCTCTTAGAAGAATAAGAGCACTGGTATGGGGAGAGAGAAAGAAAGAGAGGGATGGAGCATGTTTACAGCATTTCGCATAGAAGAGTACCAGAAGGGAAAAGGGAAAAGCAGAGTGTCAGATATAAGAAGAAGTGATCACAAGCACAAAGGAATTTATATTCAAATATTTAAGCATTCTTGAAAGGATGCTCGGAGCAGAAATTTCTTTTCTCCGCTCCCCATGTAGAAATGACTTTAACACTCAGCCAGATGCTAATGCAAAGTGACTCAAGCTATTCCTCGCAAGCATAGCTAAATTGCCGTTATTTGTTAAGCGCATTGAATTCAGCTGTGGATACAGCAGTTGGTTGCATTCAGAAAGCATCTGTACCCTTTTTTTTTCTTTTCTTTTTTTTTTTTTTTTTTTTAATCCTCCAAAGCAGAGACAACTCTACCTATCTCCCCCCTCTCCTCCCTTGTGCTGGCTGGGAATTGTCAAGTGACAACCGACCAAATCCTTTTGGACAGGAAGCCTTCATCCTGAGTTCTATATACTTGCAAAGCAGGCCTTGTGGTTGGATCAGGAAGCCCATTAAAAGCACTTTGATGGTATGGAAATTCATCTTCATGAAGCACCCAGGCCCCTAAGCAGCATGCTGTTTAGCTGTGGTTACAGATCAGTCATTCACATCGGAGGGCAGTAATTGTGCTGACGGCTTGTTCGGCAATGGAAGTACATAAAATAATCCCAGGCCCTCCACCATGGCATTGCGAGTTAATCTTCTTTAATACAGATCAGCTGTTGTTCTAACACATGACTTTATGCTGGCTCTAGTGACTCTGCACAGCCTTTTGATTAAGTAACAGGAGTGGAACCATCTGCATTCACTTTATTCTGTTACTTTCCTATTGTTGGGATTCTCCTTACCCCTTCTGTTTTCACTTCTCACCCTCAACCCCAGTTGAAGTTTATTTTCCTCTCTAATTCATGCCTCCTGGTGGTCTTGTGGAGGGCAGAGAGGAGTTCTTTTACAAGGTAGCAGGAAGAAAAAACTGTTCGCTCAATTGAACATTTTTCTAAAGCAACTGTAGGGTTTGGGGTTTTTTATACAATAAATGCCAAAGCTTTATTGGGGCGCACTGATTTATTTTATTTTATTTTATTTTACTTTTAAAGTGGAGACAGGGAAGGACAGAACCGAGTTTGAGCTCTCCTAGACTGTAATGGCATTTGAGTTGCTGGGGTGACCACTTAAGCCACTAAGCACTAGTTAAGAAGTTGCACTTTTTAACTTGTTGTAGGGTCTACTGAGCTGTCTCTTGCATTTGACCCAACAGAGGAAAAGACATAGGCTGTGAAGTTTAAGTACCTGTTCTCCTTTCCCCGTATATGCTCTAGGCCATCCACTGACTAGCCAGCTGTGAAGTTCAGCTCCAGACAAAAACCCCAACTTCTCCAAAGTTTGTGGTTGTTTGATCTAGCACTTTAAAGTTTTCTCTCTTGTTAAGAGCAGGATTTGAGAGGAAGGCAAGTGTTGCCATTTTGAATTGAATTTTATTCTGGTTTTCCCTGTTTTCAGGGGAAAAAAGAAGAAATAGTTGGGAAGGTGGGTTGTGAGAAATAGAGTGCTGCAGTGTTACCACTCAGGGTTTCCCTTCAGAAGCTCATGGTCCCACCGGGGGACTTAGAGGCAGCTCCCTGAACTTCTGGGGCGTTACGTTTGCTCATTGGTTGCTTCCTGACAGCAAGATTTTGAGGTGGGGGGTGGAATTAAAAGAGGGTTAGCCTAATGTAGCCATGTGTCCGTGGGCATACTTGTAATTAGAAATGTACATTATGTCTATGGTTACGTACAGAAGAAAGATCACTCTCCTACCTGTAGAGTGATCTCAATCTTTATAGGCAACAAACACCCGTCTGGGGCTATCCCCAATTTTCCTCCCTTCTTTGCCGCAGTGGCTAGTGTAGTTGTAGTGACCTATGGTTCTCTGAGACCTGATGAGTTTTTTGTTGCATGAATTGCTGTCACAGCCTACCAGTGAAGGTAGGTTCTATGCAGTTCTGAACCTGTATGTTAAGACTCTTGGTAGGGATTTATCTGCCAGGGCTGGCCGGGCAGGCTCAGGACTGGAAATCACCTTTGTGAGTCTCTGTGGAAGCTCTTGCGGCTTTTCTCCACACATGTGCATGACCCGTTATCTGGCTCGTGTTCCCAGACGGATTGATCCCTGCGGACAGCCAGACCTGCCAGCTGTAAGGCAGTAGTCCGACAGGAATTTTGTGGAATTGGAGAGATGCTGTATAAAAGGAGTCATAAATGAGAAAAGATTTAAAAAAATAGCTAGGATGATTTGGGTGAGTCACTTTATGGGCATCCAACTTGGACCATCTTGAGGGATTTGATTTTCAGAGGATTACAGTAAAAACTATGAGCATCATGATGAACATGGATTTTACTAAAACCTATTTTAATTGCAAATGCAATAAAACATATTTTTACATTACTTTTCTTGGAAACATTTCTGTGTATAAATGAGAAGTGTGTGTATATGTTTTTCTGGTTTCTTGGAAACCCAGGAGCATAGTTTTATTTGTAATTGTCATCCACAGTTAATTATAGCTTGATATGTACTATACATAAACAATGTCACCTTTTATACATGTAGCTTAGAGCGCAGATTGTCGTCTAGTGCAAACACCGCAGCGGGCAACATCAGCAAGTGGACTCCGGTCTATTTGTTCGGCCCCAAAACTGCCCGTTCCTCTGCAAAGGAGATGCACACAAACACAAAGAGCCAGCATGTGTGTGCATGCATACAAGCCTACAGTGCGCTCTTTCAGAGATGCACAGCACAAACATGCACTGAGCTAGCCAGTGATTTTCTGACTATAGTCAGACTCTCAAACATTTGTGTATGTACCCTGGTAACTCTAAAGAAGGAGGAAGGGGGCACACAAGCAGGTATTTGAGCGTGTGTCTGTGTACACTGGTACAAACGCAGGTACTGGTTTCCGAATGCTGGTGCCTGCTGCTAAAGGCTGGGACAGTTGTGTGTGTGTACACAGCCACACAAGCATTTCAGACGTGTACAGACGCAGTCACACTTGTAGCGTGCTCTGAGGTGAGTGCACCCGAATACGTATACCTCCTGTGCTGAAGTGTTTCTTAACCTGTGATACAAGTTCTCCCTGTTACCGCTTGGAGTGCGTCCTTTTAAAAG